GCAATAGTGTGAAGAGCAATTAAAAAACCAGACTGAATCTATTGGTTAATAAAATTTAATCGAAAAAAAAACAGTATTAAAATTGAATAAAAGAATTAATATTAAGAAAACATGCATAAAAGAGACGTCACGTGTTCACGGTCAATTTACAAAAATGATATAAAAATATATTTCCGTAACTAATTTGCATATTATAAAATATGAAATTGAAGCGTAATAAATGGAAGTGGGAAAATTTGTTTTGGATTTTTTATACTGACTTTAATAACCTACTTGATTCTTCTTGGATTTGTCAGATAGATGAATGCGTGCAAGGTAACAACATATTAAACTGTATGACTTAAAAATTATAATAAACAAAATTTCGCGTTTTAAGAACATAATTTTAATTTGATTTTTATGGAACTTAACTGACATCTATTGAATTATATTTGTTATTTTAATTGAATGTTTCAGGAGTTTCTTGCTTAATTATAAAATTTTATAGCATTTGCAATAAAGATAGGATCTCAGTGATTTGTCTGAATTATAATTGCTCACCGCAACTTTATATTAAGCAACATGACTCAATTATTTTATATTAAATTTGTTATATTAGGTTCAATTTTCATTTTAATTTAATGATATTGTATAGAAATTAACTACATTGGTTGGATAAGAGTTGTTTTCTTATTAAATTTTGGAAAAGTAAGCCAATTTATTTTTTAGATAAATAAATATTACCATACATTCTTTCAATTTTATTAGGTAATTATTAAATTTGACTAAAATAGTATTGATAAAAAAGTTTCTAGAAACAGTTATTGCATTCGATGCAATTAATTTGTTTACATTAAACTAAGAATCAGTCCTTTTATTCTGTAAGTCAACAATGCTAATTTATCTTCTTTTTTAATATTTAAATATGCAGAATGAAATTTAAAATTAATATTACAATCATAATTACGAATCAGGACCAAAAAAAGTTTAAAAATGAATTACATAACTCAGAAAATTAAAAATAATTAAATAATCAATAAACAAAATCATGCAACTTTTTCAGCTATCATCTCCTTCGAAAGACGTTAAAAACATATGACCACAGTACTTATATTAGTTACCTTAATACCTATATTAGTATATTTATTACCTATTAAAGCAACAACAATTGTCCCAATATTTTTAGTATCTATATAGCCGAAACATTAAACATCATCGGTGTCAACAATAATATGACGACTCTTTACAGTTCCTCCTCCATAAACTTTAGTACCTTTCCTCCATTACTTACCTCTTCAATACATTACTTCTTTTTATTTCAATTAACAATATTTCAAAATAAACTTATAAGTTTTTATCAAAACCAGTCTCTATAGCACATAACAAGCAAGTGGTTTCACATAAATTTGGAGATAGTAATACGGTTAAGTAGTTTTCAAATGGCATCCACTTTAATCAATAAGCTTATCTGACATAACGAGTAAATAAGTAAATATACTGAGGTATTGAAAAGGAAATAGGCTCCATTTTTATTAAATTGGGTTGTAAGCAGGCAAGTACCACTAAAGATATCGTTTAAATATTTTTTTTAAAGAATAACGGAATCGTATACAGTTTAATAGCAATGGTTTATGTTAACCAAATGAAAAGAATTTTCTCTCAATTCCTCCCGGTGGGACTAAGAGAAATATTTAAACGAATTTTAAGATCGGGTAATACAATATAATATGCATATCAAATACTACTTAATTTTCATATTCTAATACACTCGGGATGTTTTAAATTATTATAAGTTTTGGCAGTTTTATAAGCATTTATTAAAATAAGAATGAAATTCATGTATATTTACGTAGTATATTGACTATTTAGAATATTTTAAACCATTATGTTTGAAAAATAGAATTGTCATGTAAAATTTAAGAAAAAATATTTTTAATCAATTGTTTAATTTTATAATCAAGCAATTCAATGAAATTAAGATGAAATTTAATCGAAATAAAATTACAATTCGAATTTACATTTCTTGATGTGTAATATCATAAATTCTCACAAGCTCATTTTCTACTAGGAAAAATTTGTTTTATTTAGAATGTTATGAACTATTACGTTTGAAAAATAGAATTGTAATTTAAACTTTAAGAAAAAACATTTTCAATAAATCGTTTAATTTTATAATCAAACAATTCAATGAAATTAATATGAAATTTAATCGAAATAAAGTTACAATTCGAATTTACATTTCTTGACGTGCAATATCATAAATACTCACCAGCTAATTTTTTACTAGGTAAGTTTTTTTATTATTTAGATTGTTATAAACTATTACGTTTGAAAAATAGAATTGTCATTTAAACTTCAAGAAAAAAATATCTTTAATCAATCGTTTAATTTTATAATCAAACAATTCAATGAAATTAAGATGAAATTTAATCGAAGTAAAATTACAATTCGAATTTACATTTCTTGACGTGCAATATCATAAATACTCACAAGTTCGTTTTCTACGTGGTAAAAATTGTTCTATTTAGAATGTTATAAGCTATTACGTTTGAAAAATAGAATTGTCATTTAAACTTCAAGAAAAAAATATCTTTAATCAATCGTTTATTTTATAATCAAACAATTCAATGAAATTAATATGAACTTTAATCGAAATAAAGTTACAATTCGAATTTACATTTCTTGGCGTGCAATATCATAAATACTCACAAGTTCGTTTTCTACGTGGTGAAAATTGTTCTATTTAAAAAGTTATAAACTATTACGTTTGAAAAATAGAATTGTCATTTAAACTTCAAGAAAAAAATATCTTTAATCAATCGTTTATTTTATAATCAAACAATTCAATGAAATTAATATGAAATTTAATCGAAATAAAGTTATAATTCGAATTTACATTTCTTGACGTGCAATATCATAAATACTCACCAGCTCGTTTTTTACTAGGTAAGTTTTTTCATTATTTAGAATGTTATAAACTATTACGTTTGAAAAATAGAATTGTCATTTAAACTTCAAGATAAAAATATTTTTAATCAATCGTTTAATTTTATAATCAAACAATTCAATGAAATTAATATGAAATTTAATCGAAATAAAATTACAATGCGAATTTACATTTCTTGATTTGCAATATCATAAATACTCACCAGCTCATTTTTTACTAGGTAATTTTTTTAATTATTTAGAATGTTATAAACTATTCCGTTTGAAAAATAGAATTGGCATTTAAACTTTAAGAAAAAATATCTTTAATCAGTCGTTTAATTTCATAATCAAGCAATTCAATGAAATTAAGATGAAATTTAATCGAAATAAAATTACAATTCGAATTTATATTTTTTGACGTGAAATATCATAAATACTCACAAGCTCATTTTCTACTAGGTAAAAATTGCTTTATTTAGAATGTTACAAACCATTACATTTGAAAAATAGAATTGTCATTTAAACTTCAAGAAAAAAATATCTTTAATCAATCGGTTTAATTTCATAATCAAGCAACTCAATGAAATTAAGATGAAATTTAATCGAAATAAAATTACAATTCGAATTTATATTTCTTGGCGTGCAATATCATAAATACTCACAAGCTCAATTTTTACTAGGTAAAAATNTTTTGTAACTTAAATCCTAACTTATAACTTAGATACTCTTACACTTCTGCCTTTCAGTAATTTGTAGAAATCCAATCTTCGTCCCACAAATCTTCTACTGTTACTCTCAATCCGACTTCATCATCAGGCTCTGCCCACTCGAAGTCATCATAAAAATGCCATTCTTTCTCAAAACCATGCATGTCGTAATGAGCAGCTGCAAACTTTTGCCTTGATGTCTTTTCCAACCAGTCCCCCATCCTGTCGTTTTTCATCACCTCCTGCCCTCTAACCGACAGTCGTGGTTTCGGGTCTTTTCTTTCCTCTTCAGCGAAACAGTAATCATTCTCCCCTTCATCCTCGTAGGGATACCAACCCAGATCTTTCGGTTCAATCCATTGCCAGATTTCATGAAACTTCTTGCTGTTGTACGTCGATTCTTCAAACCATCCAAAATCATCCGTGTGAGTGTTTGGATACCAAATAGCAGGCGGCTTCACTGTTAGGTAGCTGTTGCCTACTCGGTCGAACTCTTCAACGAATCGAGCCTCCACACGATCTTCTGCGCAATATGGTTTTTGCACAAACTCTTCTTCTTTCTTTTCCTGGACCTTCACTTCTTCATTCTCAACCAGTACTTCCTTCTCTTCTTTACTCCCTTTCTTTCCTCCCCGTCGGAACCTACACGCACACACAAAAAGAAAAAAGAAGGAAATAATATTTAATTTTAATTTGCATTACATTTTTAGGTTATAAACTTAAATTACAATCAATGGCAAAATTACTAGACGAACTTTAAGACTCCATGTAAAATCTTAATTATCAAGTGACACTCTATGTATAGCTTTATCGTTTTTTTACGAGACCGGTTTGCACTTGTTAACGTTCGTAAATCAATTTTTTAAATAAGACGATAGATAATATAAATTCGATAGTTGGACAAATTCGACGATATGTATAAATATGGAATATTTATTATATCATGTATTATGATAGTATATTATAATAATTAGATCAAATTATTACACGCACTATAATTTTTTAATAATTGCTTGTTTCGCAGTAGTTTGTATGCAATACTTTTATATTTAAACATGCATGCAATGGGTTTTTATAGAGGAGAATTTTCATATACTTCCTATATGTATTTATTTTTAGCGTATTGCATTACAATGTTAACACATTGATACACGAACATAAACAAGCGTAATCCGGTTTAAATCGCGTAAAAAATAAAGCTATAAAGTATCACCTGATAATTAAAGATTTTACATAGAATCTTACAGTACGTCTAATAATTTGGCCAGGTATTGTACTTAGAGAATTAAAAAATTTTAATGTTTAGTATTCTGATATATATATGAATTTACTGTTCTAGACGCTAGATAAAAACGCGCAATGCATCCAAATGGCTTAGCTTCTTACCTGGGTCGAGCAATCTGAGAGTAGTACTTGTCCAGTTTTTCCAACAAGTGCAGGGCTTCGGCCATTTCCATGTCATCTTCCATATGAGGATTGGCCCTTGATCCGTCCGGCAAACTAAGGACTACTAAAGCAACGGTTATCGTAATTGCAAAAGCAAAAACTCCAAGTTTACCCATTTTAAGTAATTGTAAACTTTAAATGTTAAAACTATCTACTAACTGCAGTGTTTATTGACTTTAAACAACAGAGTGCACCGACTGCTAGGATGGTGTGGATTAGAGAATGGATGAATGATGCGATGGTATTTATGCACTTTCAGGGTATAAAACAAAAGAAATATGTATCAAAATTGAAGGCTCCCCTTTATCCGCCAATCACGTGTAAGGTTTGTCAGGAGCCCACGTAATCCATGGAATCCTTCCATTGGCCGAAAGTAAGGAGTATTTTAAAGCAGATCGATAGAAATGGCAACAGGCTGTAAGGGAATTCGAAGATGTCGCCTTTTTGTCAAGATGGATTTTATTTTTTGAAAAATAATCTATTTTTATAGCTTCGATCTATTTTTAAAATAGTCAATGAACATCTTGATTTGTAAATCACTTTCGAATCTTTTAATAACATTTCATGTCTAAGGGTAATCAGAAGATTTTGTTTTTTGGAATAATGCTAAAACATTTTGTGAAAACAATTTTTATGATCTTTCGTTTCAAAACACTAGTTTTTTCAGGTAGATTGTTTAAAACAAGCATGTGCATCTGCTGATTTTAAATTTGCAAGGATTTAGATAGCTACGATCATTTCTCAAAAACTGAACACTATGAATGTAATTAAAAATACGTAATGTGTCAATTATAGTATAAAATTAAAATTTCATAAACATTTATAAAATTTTATACATATGAACAAAATTTTGCAAATGTCCAAAATATTATGTCCAATTTTATATAAAGAGTTATTTGATTCAATAATTTCATATTTAGTCAATTTGATATTTATTCAATAAAGAATTTAAATGCGTGCTCATTATTAATTTCATCTATACTTCGTTAAAAACCCTCTAGAAATTTCTCATATTCCATCAGGGTCTTATAATCTATGCTAACACCCCCTAAAACGTCTTCTCCAGCATTAGTAACATATGTACTAAATAATGACGCATAGCAAAAATTCCGAACATTCTCCAGAGCGGCAATTGGAACACTGATATTTATAGGAGGTTGTTGATGTTTATTAATTTCGCACCTGCAATCTACAACAAAGAGAAATATTCTTTTGTATTGGTCTTTATAATAATAACTAAGCATTTCTCTTTAACTTTAAGGGGGATAAATCACACCTAGTGCTTTTTAATTATGCTACACGAATTCATCACGAACTTAAGCAGTGTGAAATTTATCTTCTTTTTTTTTCTAAAATAATAAATGTTATGATAGAGTATATTCACAATATAAACTTTTCAAGTTACGTCTTAATCAATGCTAACCAAATATTAATTAGAAATGTCAAACTTCACGAATCGTTCACATTTAGAGAGCGCCACAATTAACGTCAGCTAAGTTTTTCTGTACTAGAATTTGAAATAACCATTTTAGAATTTGGTTAAAAATGAAATTTAAAATGTACGTATGTTTTGTCAATGCAATTTCTATTATTATTTTTTTAAGTATTTTTTTAAACATTTTCCTATTGTTTCTAATATTTTCTGTTAATTTCCTTTCCAAAAAGTACGTTGCATTAATTGAATTTTTTTGAAAAAAAGATTCTTCCTTACGTTTCTTCTTCTTTAAAACAAAAACCGGAATCTAGATTTTTCAGATCATTTCACCGTTCATTGGATTATGAATAAAGGATAAAATTTGGAAAACAAAAAAAAAACGAATCTTATTTGTGAGACCAAACATCAAAAACGGGAAAGTTTCCTGTCAAATAATGTGTGTTTTCGGCCAATAAACACATTCCTGTGGCTCTTTAACCTCTATACTCACCAGACTTGAATCCTTTTGGCCTTCTCTTCTTTCTGAGAATTCTTCTCATGGTATAATCATTTTAGGACACTGAGAAACGCTTAAAAGGCTCACGGTGAAAAAATTTCTAAAAAAGGCATATCTGGCAGAAGAAAAATAACATAATTTTGGTAATAAAACTGAAATGCATGGTTATTAAATCATTCTTCCCATGTCTTAACATAACATAACATAAAAAACATAACCTAATATAATATATCATGACATGAAAAAAAAACTATCAGTGAAAAAAATTAAGCTTATTAGTTGGCGATTTCTGCAGGTATGTTCCTTTTTAAACAAAAACTGTTTTATATGTTACATGGTGAAAGAAATTCCATTAAAACTATCATACTATACGGTAACTATAATTCTGATTTAAAAAAAAACCACAGTTCTTATCATAAAACCCAAAATATACAGTGTTCAAACTACCTATTTCGTCATTTTTCCGTTCATATGGAAACGGCTTACCAGGAATTTTGGTTTTCATAGTTCTTATTATCACACATTAAGTAAAGAATACAAAATTGAAAAGTAAATTTAACCAGATAAATGATTTTTATACCATGCTCTAAGGTATCATGATAAAGTTACAAATTCTTACCAAATTTATCAACTTTTACCACATATTAAAAAAACATATTTAATTTTTTAATTTTACTCAAATCATTACCAAAGCGGTTCGGTGAAAATTGCCGATCTTTTTTTTTGTTTCCATAGAGCCAGAAACACGGTAAATTTTACCATATTCTGGTAATTTTGATCATGCTTTTTTTCTCAGTGCTATCATCGATCAGATAGAGGCTATTCCAGTATCCGAATTCCAAAAATATTGAAAAAATCAGTCTCATTATTTAATTTATTCACCTTTTATATAAAACAATATCTGTTAATTTCAGGTATCTCAAAATATTTTACACTATGCAATTTAATTTGATTTTTGCATTTAGGAACAAAATGTATTTCTATAAAAATTCCACTATTCAATTCTTTAATCTAAAAGAATTTATGATAATATTTTCACAGGAAAGATGAATTAAATTTTTTGAAAAACAAACTTTTCCTGGAAATTGAAATGATGTGCGAAATGCATTACCAGTTTGTAACTCAAATTCTGTCAACAACTTTTAATTTCAAAGGACCATCTTACGAAATTAATCTCCTTTAAAAATATTATTAATAAATGAATTGAATTAATATCTTACTAATTTGTGAAAAACATTTTTCAGTTATTATTAAAATTTGAAAAATTATTGAAGAAAATTACATTAATGCTGATTCTGCAAGTCTTAATTTAAACACTTGCAAATAAATATGTATTGATCTTTTCAAGCGAGAAATAGGAAATGAAATGATTTTATTAACGTAAAAATGTTCATAACCAGTTATCTTCAATAAGATTACGTGTATTTTTGTATTCGTTTATAATGTCAATCAATTTTTTTTTCTATTTAAATTCATAAATTGTGGCGCCGAACAAAAGATTAGGAATTTTTCTAAGCGCTGAAGCTTTCATTTTAAATAAATGAAAAATGATATTAAGAGAAAAATTTAAACATGAGATTAACTAAAACGGTTTTTAGTAAATGTTTTGTATTTCATTGACAATCTAATTATTTTTTTTTTAATTTATAAATGCGGCTTTTTTTAAAGAAAAATTGAAATGACTAAATCGAGATTTATGTTAAAACCTTCTAAAATAATTTCGATTACACAGTGTTTTGTCAATAATTCTAAAATTAATTTTGAAGGGGACATTACTTTCGAATTTTTAATCCAATTTTAGAGCAAGCATTTTCGTTTACGTTCTTTTAATGATTATGCAATTTCTCGGTATAAGAGCATTTACTTATATTTTAGAACAAAAGAAACGACTGAATCAGTGAAACATCATTCTATATCTGTACAAACATTAGCATCATCTTTAATAAAGACTAGATAATATATTTTTCAAGAATATGTCAATTACATATCGGAATTAATATTACAAATTGATTACGTGGAAAATGAAAAATTATCTAGGTAACTAAATGAAAAATTATCTAGGTACATTAAATACATTTTCATATCATTTTTCATGTACCACGCTTATGAAGAGTATAGAATCAGTCTAGACATACAAAGTTGTTACTTTCCTTAAATATTTATACCTGCCTCTTCAGAAAATTTTTTTTTTTTCGTTTTGAACATTTTTTTTTTGTTTTGAACATTTGAAATATTTTTTGTTTTGTTTTGTGAATTTTATTTTATTTTATTATAATAGTCGTTAGACAGTCGACTTATTGATGCTTTTACTGTTTTTTATATTTACCTTCGTAGTTGTAATTTTGAACCCAATCCTGAAGACAAGTGAAATTCTGGATCAAGCAATGGATCAAAAAGGTTTTCGAGGAAGACGTTTTGATGAAATTACACCCCTCCCTTGCTCATGTTACATGCAGACAAAAGCCGAGAAAACCTCTCTCGGTTAGCCCGGTGGCAAGGGGAGTCTAGCGCGGTATTTTACATCAGCACTGTGGCCGGTGTGTCTCTTAAAAGTAATTTAAAGTTCAAAAATTAATTAAAAAAATGAGACACTCTTAAATAAATAGTTTCATATTTGTCCTTCGTATTATGGATTGAGTTCGAACACAGAGAAGCTAATTTACATGAATATAACATTCATAATATTGTAACATTCATAATAATATAATATCATATTACATGGCCGGGATAACCTGGTTGGCAGAGCGCTGGACTCCTGTTTGTGAAAACGGGAGTTGGAATCCAGTCAGCCGAAGACTCCCCGTGTAGTAAATGGTGAATGGTGCATGTTAATCTGTCGGATCACAAAGTTCTCCATGTTCCTTTAGCAAATTGCTTCTCTGGGGATACTGATTTGGAGATTGATCGTTCTCTGGTTCTGATCAAAATTACGATCTATGGATAAATGAATGGATGTATGACTGGGTCCGGCCATTAAACAGGTGTGACGTATGGGGGTGGCAGAAATTGAATTCTTGATGGCGCCACTTCAAAACAAGAACAATCGTATTCCTTGCCTTAATGGCCTACAACAACAGTATCATATTACAAGAATATAACATCTTTATATTAACAATCTGGGTGATCAGATGTTAACCCTTAGTTAACATCTTTATGGTGACCACATGTTGATAACTTTATTGTCTAAGATAGCAAAGTTGATTGGGTTGGAAAAATATGTGATTATTTTTGCATATACATTCCCTTATATACCTTATTACACCTTGATTGGCATGTATAGTCACTAATTTATATGCATCATTACTTGTGATATAATATATTAATTGATTTTCAATTAAAATTG